AAAACAACACCGGATGCGGCCGCGAGAAGGGAAACGAGCAAGAGCAAGAACGCGTGGTCAGTGGTTTGGGAGAGCTCCGGCGCGAGCCGCCGCCACCGAAAGCTACTAGTACCTCTCCGATGGCCGACGAGACGCCGAGAGCTGCCAACCAGGACCCAACCAGCTGGGTGACAGCGTTGGGTTCCGAGCGGCGATGTGACGTCCCGGGCCCATCAGCATTCGTGAAAAGTATACCACGTCTGACGCTGCCTACCTTCCGAGGCAGCCCTCAAGAGTGGCCTCGCTGGATCGGCCTATTTAAGGCGCTCGTCCACGACCAGCCGTCTCTATCGGACTCAGAGCGAATGGCTCACTTGCAGAACGCCGTAGAAGGGCCGGCAGCCCAAGCTATTGAAGGCATGTTGTTCAATGGCAGCCTCTACCTGGAAGCTCTGAGAACCCTACAAGAAAGATTTGGGAGAGAAGAAGATATCATCCAAAGTCACTTGAGGAAAATCTTCACTTCCAACCCACCAGCTCTCACGGATCTTCCAGCCATGGAAAAGTTCTACGCCATCGTTCATAACACAGTGACCGTCCTACAGAATCTTGGCTATTCAAGCGATCTGTCCAGTAGTGAGAACCTCAGGAGGGTGGTGGAGAAGCTGCCGAATGAGCTGGCCCGAGAATGGGGTCGTGAAGTGTTTCGGCTACGGCCAAAACGACCCACTCTGAAGACCTTCAGCGAATGGCTTCAGGTGCAAGTCAGCATCCTCAGCTTCTCGGCCGTCCAGTCCGGGACGTCGGAACGGAAATGTGTAGCCGGCACGCAGCGGGAAGGAGCGGTGCGGAGGACAGCGCTCGCGACTGGAGCGACTCATGGAGCTGGAGAAGTGGAACCACATTCGCTGCCACCCTGTCTGGTGTGCGGCGACAAGCACAGGGTGGCTGACTGCCCGTCATTCAAGGGAAAAATGTTGGAAGCGAGAATGGAAGTGGTGTACGAGAACGGCCTTTGCTTCTCGTGTCTGAGAAAAGGCCACTGGACCAGGAGATGCAGATCCTCTCGGAAGTGCGGGGTGGAGGGCTGCAAGCTCACTCATCATCCCATGCTACACAGAAGCTCAGGACACGCGAGACATGAGGGAAGCTCAAGGGAAGAAGACTCTCCGAGCGGATCATCAACGGCTGCGGCACCACATCCGCGAGCTAAAGGCACGGGAAACTCGCCGTTTGTAGCAGCCTCCCTGAGCGATGAGACCGACACACTGCTGCAGGTCGTTCGGGTTCGCGTCCACGGAGCGACCAAATCAAAGGACGTGCTGGCGTTGCTAGATACCGGAGCGCAGACGTCACTGTGCAGCGCTGATGTCCTGCAGGAGTTGGGCATCACCGGGGACCTTCGCCAGCTCTGCATCCAAAATGTGGAGGGAAGCGGAGCTCAGAAACCATCTGAATGCGTTACCCTGACGGTTAGCGCACTCGGCGATGGTGTGAAGAGAGGGTACATCGAAATCCCTGAAGCCTGGGCTGTACCATCACTGAATGTGACTGCCCCAACGGTATCTCACCGCCAACTCAGGCAATGCAAACATCTCCGTGGACTAGCATTTCCGCAGTATGATGGCGGTGAAGTGAAACTGCTGCTCGGAGGGAACGTGCTGGAAGCTGTTCTCCAACAGGAAGTACGAAAGGGTCATTCCAACCAGCCAGCAGCTATAAGAACCGGGTTTGGATGGGCACTAGCTGGTTCCATATCAGCAGTGAAGCCAAGCAGCCTGCGCCAGGTTATGTTCCTGCAACGCAACGCCCAGAGCAGCGACGACGAGCTAGCAACCACCGTGAAGGACTGGTGCACGGAGGCTTTTGGGACCAAGTACGACAAGCCTGTGGAACAGTCCCGGGAGGATGAGCGTGCGCTGTCAATCCTGAAAGGCAAAACAAAAGAGCCTCCGGACAGGTATGAAACAGGCATGCTGCGGAAGGAAGACCGGGTGGAGCTCCCCGACAACGGACGGATCGCAATGATACGGCTCGAAGCCACGGAACGAAAACTCAAACGCAACTACGACCTGACCAGAAAGGAGCAGTGCCGTCACGTGTCAGGAACGCTGAATCCTGTAGACGACTGCTCAAGAGAGCTGGCCGCGTCAGAGCTAGCGCCAGACTGCAGATGGCTCCGCGGACCCGGGCTTCTGTGGCAAGATGAGGGAGACTGGCCATCAAAGCAAGACGCAAGCCCGCTCAGACCAGGACAAGAGGAAGTGAAGGAAGAGAGCTTCATGGGACTCACAACCCAACGACAGCCCGTGCTACCAGACGCCATGAAGAGCTCAGGCTGGCTCAAGTACCGTCGAGCGGCGGCCTGTGTGAGACGTTTCACTCACAACACAGCCATATGCGCCTCAGACGATGAAACGCGTCTCAGCGGACCTCTCAGTGCCCAAGAACTCAGGGATGCCGAAGTCTGGATACTCAAACGAGTGCAGAGGACAAGCTATCCGGAGGAAACCCACAGTCGGGCGCTGGGGAACGAGCTACCTGGAAAGAGTGATTTGCTTCCGCTCTCACCACACCACGACGCAAGGCGAGGGAGACCAACAGTTATCCTCTCCGATAACGGCGCCAACATCGTGGGAAGCTGTCTTGAGCTAAAGGCGGAGCTGCAAGCCATGGAAAGAGAGATCGCAGGAAAGCTCATTGTCTTCGAACTTGACCGGCTCTTCAACCTCCCGGCTGCTAGCCACATGGGGGGAGTGTGGAGGAGAATTGGGCGATCGGTGAAGAAATTTCTGAAGAAGGTGATGGGTCCACAGGCGCTCACAGACGAAGAACTTGTGACGGTGCCCACTGAAGTTGAGCACATAGTCGACAATCGACCCCTGATCCACGTCAGCTTGGAGCCGCCAGACCCAGAAGTTCTGACGCAAAATCATTTTCTGCTCGGTGGCGCTTCGAGGCATCTCGCGCCAGGGCTCGTGGAAAGACAGAGACATGTGCAGCCGACACCGATGGAAGCATGTCCAAGCTGTGGCGGAACATGTGTGGAAGAGGTGGACAAGAGAGTACGTGCCGACTCTCATCCAGAGGAGCAAGTGGCGCAAGGAGCAGAGAAACCTGCAAGTCGGGGACTTAGTGCTGATGGCAGACCCAAACATGTTTCGGGGCTCATGTCCGTTGGCCCGCATCTGCCGCGTGTTGCCGGCAGCGGGTGGCAGAGTCCGGTCGGCCGGGCTTCAAACGGCTATCGCGAAACTGTACACGCGACCAGCCACCAAGATCTGCTTCTGAGAAGAGGAATGCAAGTGAATCTGCGCGGACGGAGAGTAGGAGGATGTCGAAAACATGAAGGAAAACGAGGAAGGAAGAAGACGATGAAGAAGAAAGGGGTACAACTACATTGAAGCGGAGAACGGGACGAACCGAGAGGAGAAAAGTCAACACATGGCGAGCGAGCGCCGTGTTGGTCGGCCTGGTCTGGCTCGGCTTATTCGCTCAGCAAATGTCTGATGTCCATGTGTGCCGCTTACTAGTGAGTAGTCATAGGAATAGCGTGTGAAAAGTTTGTCGGTCATTTGTGTGTGTTCGGAACGTACGACCGAACACAGGGGGGAGTGATGTTGCCGACAAACTAGGCAAATGTCGCGCCGCCGATGCCGAGCCGAGCCGCCGCCGCGCCGCCCCTCACCCCGCCCCGCCGGTCCCGCCACCGGGCCGGGCCGCCGCCCGCCCAGCGGCCACCTGTCGCCGCGCATGGTTTTTTTTCTGAGACAGAAGCAATGGGCCATATCGACGCCGCGAACGGTGGACTGGCGTCCCCCTGTGAGCCTGCGACCCGGCTGACCTGTGACCTGTTCCGAATGGGGCCGGCGGGGCCCTGGGCCTGGGAACTGGAAGGGTGTGTGAGGGGACGCGGCGTGCCGGCCGCCTTTTTTGTGCTCTGTGTCACGACCCCTGTATCGTGTGACATTTTGGCCATGTATTTGAACCGATACCGGGCTCTGCTCGGTCTCACTTCACTGTTAGTCGCCGACGAGTTCACTTCGCTCTCAAACGCGGACGGCGGCGCTCTGCTGCCGCTCACGTCTAACTTTTCTAACTACTGTGTCTGTGCTGTACTGCTGCCATCTCGCCGTCTTCGGTCAATAGCGAACTCTTCTATTTAGAAGACTGTGTTTAAGTGGTGGTGGTGTGAGTGAAACCGAAGTGGCGAGTGGAGGAAAGGAGAGCGGCGCGCAGCTCACAGTTCTCACGGTGGCCGGGTCTACTCACTATTCCTATCAATCCTCTGTCATCCTACATTATATGCATGCCGCGAGGTGTGCTCCTTATGCGCTCTGAGACGGGCGCTGTTGAACGACCCAACATGCATGCCGCGAGGTGTGCACCTTATGCGCTCTGAGACGTGCGCTGTTGAACAACCCAACATGCATGCCGCGGGGTGTGCTCCTTATGCGCTCTGAGACGGGCGCTGTTGAACGACCCAACATGCATGCCGCGAGGTGTGCTCCTTATGCGCTCTGAGACGGGCGCTGTTGAACCTTTGATCCGTAAATTATTCATCCGTGTTTATTTATTTACCGATTAGATACTTCCCTTCTTCATTATTCGTTCACTGCCTCTATTAATCCTACATCCTCTCACAATTTCCCCCGGCCGCCAACCCGAATGCTGCGAGACGTAACAAACACACATACAGTCCACACAAGAAAGCCAGAGACGTCCGCAACAATCTCTATGTCTGTATCCCCATGATGCAACAATTTACGTGGTCCAAACCTCCATCGCACAAAGCTGTCTTCGCTTCGGCACTTCGCGCCATGAGAGATATATCCTGTCAACTCTTCACCAGGGATACCTATTGTGACCGGTAGACATTCATACGAGCACTACTATGCGGAACCTAAGAGCGGTGTATCGTGGGCTGTTTCACTCACCTTAGTGTTCCTGAATGCGGCAAATCTAGCGCTCTACGCCCGTTTGTGCGGAGTGCCTGACCTAGCGTTTCACGCCTGTTGCAGGGTGTTTGACCAGCTCGAGTTCACCAAGAACCACTCGGGCCTGTTCCTGTTTCTGGAGGAGGACCACTACGTGGCGCCCGACTTTCTGCACGTGCTGCAGCTGATGTCGGAGGCGCGGCCGCAGCACTGTCTGCACTGCAACATCCTGTCGCTGGGCACCTACCTCAAGGTGTACAACTACCGCGCCGACACGGCCAGGGTGAGTGCATGGGGGAGTTATAGGAATTATATAGGAGTTATAGAGTGAGTTTAGACGCCTTCGCCGGGACAGATACGCCCCGGCACACTGATTCAGGGTATCGAGAAACGGATATTGTATAGGGTTTTCCAATGAATTACGAGGCTGGCCTCGCAGTCAGCAATCAGCATGCTCCATTTGTCATCCCAGATCATGATTTGCAGTGCATAACGTCAAAGTAGCATGGAACGTTTAGATGTTGGCTACCGCTGTGAGACGTCATCCTCAAGTTGACGGCATGGGCTGTTTGCCTTTGAATGGATATTGCACTGTCAATTCCATTATGTTCAACACCGGATCCTTAATTAAAGACCAAAGAGAAACGTTAGTTTCACGGATATCTCCGTGATTAAACGTCACAAAGGTGTGGCGGCCGTGACAGAGTGCCTCAATTTGCCGGAACGGCTCGGCCCTTTCAACCTCGCAATCGAATCATGGTGACCTTTCGCGGCGGCCGACAGTAAGTTCTGGTTTCACGGGAACGGGAGCTGCCGTGCTCCATTTATAGAACCCCGAAGCTCTGAGCTACCGGTCGAGTCTATCAGTGTCGGGCGGCTGACATCTGGTGCACGTCCTGCCGGCGGTTTGAACGTGCTGCAGCCGCGATAAGCTCGTTACTGGAGGCGCGGTGCTCCTGGACGGCGCAGCGGGTTGACGGGGTCCAGGGCGGTCACCGGGCCGACGCGGGGGTACAGGAGCGTCCCACACCGGTCACTGAGGGGCAGTGGTCCTGGCTGGCGGGTTGACAGGGTCCGGGGCGGTCGCCGGGCCGACGCCTGGGGTACAGGAGCGTCCCACACCGGGCACTGAGGCCTGAGGGGCAGTGGTCCTGGACGGCGCGGTGAGTTGACAGGGTCCATCCAGGGCGGTCGCCGGGCCGACGCGGGGGTACAGGAGCGTCCCACACCGGGCACTGAGGGGCAGTGGTCCTGGCCGGCGGGTTGACGCCTGGGGTACAGGAGCGTCCCACACCGGTCACTGAGGGGCAGTGGTCCTGGCCGGCGGGTTGACAGGGTCCAGGCCGGTCGCCGGGCCGACGCCTGGGGTACAGGAGCGTCCCACACCGGTCACTGAGGGGCAGTGGTCCTGGCCGGCGGGTTGACAGGGTCCAGGGCGGTCGCCGGGCCGACGCCTGGGGTACAGGAGCGTCCCACACCGGTCACTGGGGGGCAGTCCATTGATCGCTCATGCAGCGACGGTGTGACCGTGCCGTGCCGCCACGGTACAGCTGTACCGGCCTCAGCTTCGACACCTATCGTATACCTATCGGTGATACCCCGGCATGGGTGTTACAGTGCCGATACCGGCGGCTCCTACCCGAGGTTACCTCCCGCTGGGGTCTGATAGAGGGGCTCTCGGCGGTCCTCGGCTCAGCCGCATAGCGTGTCTCATCACTGGGGGTCGGTGCACCCGAGGGCATATTGCTGCGCTCCCCATCACGGCCGCGGGATGAGAGCGCATCGAGCGCATCGACCGAGTGTCGGGCATCATTTCCCCTGGGATGGAGTTGGTCAGGGGGGGGGGGGGGGGGGTTCGAGGTGTGGTGTTGCCTGCGAGAGGGGACAAGGTATGGAGTTAGGGTCGGACGTGAGGCCTAGGTATGGAGTCAAACGACTGCTGGATAGAAGGCCGATGTATGGAGTTAGGATCAGTGGATAAGGAGACAGAATTGAGTTAGGGGCGTCGGTTGGCGGGCCCGACTGCCCACTTCCGACTGGAACGTGACTCTAGCGACGCCTCGCTCCGGAAATTATTTACCGAAAGACGGCGGGCAGCCAAGTTTCCAGATTCGTGGAGCTGGGTACTTCTGGGCCGAGTTGTGTGTGATTAGCTGATTTCGTTCGGCCGACCCGGCCCCATCTCGGCGCCAGCTCCGCTCTTTGATGGCCGTGCTCCGGACGTAGCGGCCGACAGAGCTGACTTGTGCCAGCGGCCGGCGGCGGCTGCAGCTCACGGGTAGATAGCCCGGAGAGCAGTTGGTGGTGGCTCTTACTTTTAACAAGTCGACCGGGGGATGAGGATGAAGACGTTTTCATTTCCATTTCCCAGAATCAGGCGAAAGCGGATGAACTAACCGAAATGGTTTCCAGCTAAGGTTATTTAGAGATCCATCACTGTTTTCTTGTTAGTGGAACTGTAAGCGATAATAAAACTCATGCGAAGCAAGCTGCTTCGTTTTAATAACGGAAGCTGTCATGTCTGGCGCCTCATGGCATGACTCACCTAACCTGACCTGACGGGGCGGAATCGACGCATAGTGATACGGCTCCAAGTGTTACCTCTGATGACCTGACCTGATACCGACAGGTGCAGTTGACCCAGTGGTACGACTCCCTTTGTTACCTCTGATGTCTCCTGACCTGACTTCGGCAAGTGACACTGACAGTGGAGGAGTCACCTGCTATTCCTGCTGACCTGACCTGACCTGACCCGGCGTCGGCAAGTGGAGCTGACCCATTGTTATGACCTGACCTGACCTGACGCCGACAGGTGGAGCTGACCCAGTGATACGGTCACCTGTTATGACCTGACCTGACCTGACCTGACCTTACCTGGCGCCGGCAGGTGGAGCTGACACAGTGGTACGGTCACCTGTTATGACCTGACCTGACCTGACCCGGCGCCGACAGGTTGAACTGACCCAGTGGTACGGCTCCAAGCACAACATGGGCATGGCGTTTAACCGTACCACATGGCGCATGCTGCGCTCGTGTACGTCGCTATTCTGCTCGTTCGACGACTACAACTGGGACTGGAGCGTGCAGTACATCTCGCAGACGGGCTGCACCGGCCAGAAGCTGCACGCCATGCTCATCAAGGCGCCGCGGGTCTTCCACATCGGAGAGTGGTACGTAACCAGTGTGACCCTGGTAGTAGGTGACCTGTCTTACCTTGGTACACGACCTGTCTGACCCTGGTAGTAGGTGACCTGTCTGACCTTGGTACACGACTTGTCTGAGCCTGGTGGTAGGTGACCTGTCTTACCTTGGTACACGACCTGTCTGACCCTGGTGGTACGTACGTGACCTGTCTGACCTTGGTACACGACCTATCTGACCCTGGTGGTACGTGACCTGTCTGACCTGCTGGTTATGTCTGACCCTGGTACGTGACCTCACTGACCCTGGTGGTACGTGACCTGTGTGGTCCTGGTGACCTGGTATGTGACCTGTCTAACCCTGCCATGTAACCCGTCTGACCCTGGTGGTCCGTGACCTGTGCAAAGTGGAGCAACGTGGAGCTTTTTGACCTGAACGGTGATTGATCAGACCTCACTGACCCTGACATGTGAGCTGACTGACTGTAGGTATGTAAAGTGGAGCAAAGTGGAGCTTTTTGACCTGTACCGTGATTGATCAGACCTTTCCAGTACTGGCACACAAGCACAGCTGCACACTGCATAGTAATAGGCGCGTAGCACAATAAAGGAAGAAAGTTTGGGATGGGTCTGCCCCGATGCGCGATATTTGTGTGTGTGTCATGTGTGGCAAACCGCAAGCTTTGCGATAACATTCTGCGGGTTTTCGATCCATCACGAGGCAGCACATTGCATAAGGAGGGCCGGACGGATCCAGGAAACAGACGTATCCGTTTCGCTGGCTCATATTTCGTGGCTGATCCATCAACACTAGCAAATAGCCATGGCGTGTTTCGACCCTGCACTGCACAACAGGAGGCGCAAACATTCGCCATACATGGTTCACTCCCCTCGTGAGTCATGTTTGCTTGTTGAGCTCTACTCTCACGGTCTCTACTGGAACGACACCTGTGCGCCCGGTCAAACAGTGAACCGTGGACGGCATCGAACCGTGCTCCCCAAAATAGCGCCTCGACTCGCTCGAACGGCGCTGCATGCATCGGTCGACGATGCGCAGAAATCAAACAGGACGGTAAACATTAACCCAGCAAATAATCAACGTGAAATCAGAGAGAGAGAGAGAGAGAGAGAGAGAGAGAGAGAGAGAGAGAGAGAGAGAGAGAGAGAGAGAGAGAGAGAGAGAGAGAGAGAGAGAGAGAGAGAGAGAGAGAGAGAGAGAGTGTGAGTGTGAGTGTGAGTGTGAGTGTGAGTGTGAGTGTGAGTGTGAGTGTGAGTGTGAGTGTGAGTGTGAGTGTGAGTGTGAGTGTGAGTGTGAGTGTGAGTGTGAGTGTGAGTGTGAGTGTGAGTGTGAGTGTGAGTGTGAGTGTGAGTGTGAGTGTGAGTGTGAGTGTGAGTGAGTGGGGGTGTGAGTGTGAGTGTGAGTGTGAGTGTGAGTGTGAGTGTGAGTGTGAGTGAGTGAGTGAGTGAGTGAGTGAGTGAGTGAGTGAGTGAGTGAGTGAGTGAGTGAGTGAGTGAGTGAGTGAGTGAGTGAGTGAGTGAGTGTGAGTGAGTGAGTGAGTGAGTGAGTGAGACCATTGCGTTACTTAAGTCGTCGTCTTCATCTTTCTTTTTAGTTTTTATCACTCAAAATGTGTTGTGCTTAACCCGCGCCCGGCTGGGGGTCCTGGATTTCCACGCCCTGCTGGGGGGGGGGGGGGTGTTTGAACACCCCCCCTTGTAACTCGGCTCCTGGGCCACGTAGCGATACGCGGAAGGCGGCGGTTGAAAGAGCGTCAAAAATAATGACGAAATCACTTCGGTCAATTTTTTGGTCAGGTCAAAGGTCAGGTCACCAGAGGTCATTGAAGGCAAAATTTCGCCGATTTCCAGGTCGAATATCGAAAATTTCCAAGAAGCCAACGCATAGCTCGGGAACCAATAGAGCTGCAGCGCCGCGGAAAAGCGCATTCGATAGCCCTATTACCGCCCTTTCTGAGTAATTCTCCCAGATTTGACCTAACGTCAACGGTTTTGCCTGCAGGGGGCAAAAACTGCAAAAATAGCCGATTTTTTCGGAAACAGTTTTTTCTGCAATAACTTTTGACCCAAGCCCTGTACGAGCTTACTTTTACTGGCATCGTGTTCCTCTCGTCAAGACGCATCGAATGCACTATAACTTGACCTTGAAAGGTCAACTTGAAAATTTGACCTCAGGTCAAAGTCATGACCTGACCGGAAAGGGTCATGTTGCATATCAGTCGATCCGTATCGTCGAGCTGAACACACCTACGGCGTTTTCATCACTCAAGTATGCCTCTATCAAAAGTTATTTGCGAAAAACTGTTAGATACCATTCGTGACCTAAGATGACCTCAGGGCATAAACAAGGGTCACGGACACCATTTTCATGTTCAGTGTGTCTAAACCACTTGTAATTCGGTGTTTAGGAGTGTTTATAATGGCTTTTGTCCAAAAGAGGCGCATTTCAATTTTCTCCCATTGACTTATAATGGGGAGGTCGCAAAATTGACCTGACCTTAGGTCATCGATATCAAAATTCTGAGATATACATTTTGTACATGCTATTGCTCTTAGTAATCGCTGAAACTTTCAAAGCGATCGGTCACTCGGTGTAGCTATGACAGACATTGAAAGTTTTTATGAGGTGAGGTCACTTCAAGTGACCTGGTGACCTGACCTTGAATGACCTTGGTCTGAAATTTTCACAACATGTGTAGAATTGATGTATAATAAGGTGTACCAAAAACGGCGGCGCTCCGCGCGGCCGTTTTTGAGATATTCGCGAAAAACCACAAGGGGGGGGGGGGTGTTCAAACACCCCCCCCCCCCAGCAGGGCGCGGGTTAATGCGTATGTCCACAACCGGTAACTCTAGGTATGCCCTATTAGCCCCCGTGCCCTATTGCCCTATTATCCCCCCCGTGCTCTTTTGGCACATCACGCAAAGTTAGCTTCAGAACAGCGATATGCTATGCCAAGCACTGCTACAAGCAATGAAATATGCACGAAGTTGCACTAACACGCAATTCTCATACACGATTCAAACTTCCTATATGTGCAGTGCAGTCTGCAGTCTGCACCTAGCCATGATAGACGGCTATTTGCCGTGGCCCGTGAGTAACTGATAGCCTGGAGGGGGGGGGGGGCGGAGCGGGGTCCCAAAGTGCCGGCGGCAGTATCAACCGTCATGCGATATCCATATGGCCGGCAGTGGGTAATGGAGTGTGGGCCGAGGGTAACTACCCTGCTGCTGCCGGCCGCTCGTACCATTATGGTCCCAGGATGAGGACACGCACTGGGGCGGTCACGGGTGGCTGACATGTCAACAGCCTCACACAGCGACCTTCACACATGCCCTGTTCTCACGGTAGGCAGTAGGCACGAAGGGCAAGTTCTGGTGCACGTTCCAGGACATTTCTACCTGCGTCATATGTTTTCGTTGCGAGCAACCGCAAAAGCCGCGAAAACAGATTTTCTGCGTTTTGCGCTGTATAAGTGTATAGATGCGGGACACACTACCCACTGTGCTCGATATTTGTCGCGGTATTTCCCTTGTGCTCCATCCGTACACACTGCACTGTCAAGTCTCCCCACTCTTGTCTAACGGGCCGACACCGTCCTCCCTCAGCGGCGTGCACCACCGGGGCAAGAACTGCGACAAGTTCTCGCTGCTGAAGCGCGTGTCGGCCACACTGCTGTCGGCCAGTCGCTACCTCTTCCCGCCGCGCATCACCGCCTACCTCGCCATCACGCGCCGGCTGAAGCTGATCAAGGGCAACGGCGGCTGGGGCGACCCGCGCGACCACTACATGTGCACCACGCTACGGCTGCCCAACAGCACCTGGACGTGGCCGCAGCCGCGGCCGGAGCCGGCCAAAGCGGCGGCGCCGGCGGCGGCGCGGAGGGCCTGGAGACGCCGCGGCGTGCCCGGCTCCTGATACGGCCCCAGCCGACGGCCGATGGCCTGCCGCGGCGGCTGGAGGGGCTGCTCCGTGCACGCTGGGGGCGCTGATCGCTGAGACAGCACCGATCGCTGAGACGGGCCTCCGGAGGGGCTGTAGGGGCTGCTCCGTGCACGGCGGCCGCGCCGAGCGCTGACACGGGCCTCCAAGGGGGATGGAGGACTGCTCCGTGCACGGCGGAAGCCCCGACCGCTGGGACGGGCCGCGGTGGATTGAGAGGCTGCTCCGTGGACGGACCACGTCTGGAGGGTCTGCTCTGTGCACGCTGGGGATGCTGAACGCTCAGACAGGCCGCGGCGAACTGCGAAGTGAACAGGTCTAGTCGTGAGCGGCGGATGGTGGGCGAGTGGGAGTGACGGTGCGCGAACGCGGCTGTGTGAACGTTAGCGCAGATGTGTCCAAGTTTGTGATGTAAGCCATGCTTGCTGTACAGTTGAGCATTGTTGTGCGTGTTTTGTGAGTGTTGCGCTGAGCGCTCCAATATCTGAATACCAAATACTGCACTGTGCTGCAAATAATCGGTGGAATGCACTCATGAGTGTAGCGCATGAGTAACTAACCATGGAAGGCCGCGTGTGGCTTTGCTCGATGCCTTCATTCCATGTCCCGAGCCAGTCTAGCTCAGAGCCAAAGAGCGTCCCCTGGTCGAGAAGATGGGTTCCGCCACTCACCGTGCTATGGAACAGGTTTTCATGAGAGCGCGTCCGTGGACTGTGGAGTGACGAAAGGCCTGTCCTGGGTCACCGTTTTTATTATCAGTCTGTAGACTGAATGTCTGTATGCATCCTCGGCGTATCCGTGCAACGTGAAGCTCCTTTGCCGCCTGCTGTCTCCGTGCACCACGCATCGCAGGCTTCTCGAAGACAGGATCTTGTGCGCGAGATCCTCAGGCCTCTTATGGACAGGGCGTTTTGGATGGGATATTTAGGTGAGTGTGTATCACTTTCACAACTGCTGGGCAGTGTACTTCTGTTCGTTTTTAGCATGTCTTGAGTTTGCCACTTTTTATCCTTTACTTGGGAGCACCCACCACATTGATGTGTAACGACGGACGACACTGTTTTCTTAGTGAGACGGTGTCTAGCTAACATTCGAGCGATACAATGCTGTTTTCACCATGTCATGCATTCATTTACGTAGATATGCAGTTCCTAAATATGCTCTCATACCAAGGCAATGATGATGTAATGTAATAACTACTGATGCCGTGCTATGTACCCTGGGTCGCGCCTGCTGCCTTTGGTTAGGGCTCATTGTTTATTATTCGCACCTTTATGCCGGGTTCACGTCGTATCAGCAGGGTTGGGTCATGACACAAGTGCTTGCGAGTCGACCTGCAACAACGCGATAAGGAGTCGCTAATGTGACTCCAACTCCCGTTAGTGATCCGAGCGGAGGACGGGCAGTGTGTGCGCTGGGGGAGCCATCTATGCACGGGGAGGGCGCTCGTCTCACTGGGGTTCTGTGAGCTGTGTTGCACGGTGTCGTCTGGTCCCGTCTCGTCGGTCAGGGTGCGCCCAGTACCAGCACGGAGAGACGGTGTCCCGTCGGGGGACCGTCATCCTGCCGGATCCGACACACGATACATGGTGGTCCGGTGCTGCGAACAGTTCTGAAATGTGATATCTGAGCCATGTCTGAAGATGATAATGAGAGATTGAATACATAACTGTATGGTGAAAAGTGAGTTCGTTTTGTGGAATCGGCTGCAGCGCAACGGTGGTGCTATACCTGCCACCTAGTGAGCGGCATCTAAACCTATGGTACCAGCTGGTCGCCGACCAGGGTAAACACTGGGCATGGATTCACTGGGTCCGTTCCAGTCGCACTTCCAAACACCTCTAAACTCCTCCAAGAGCAAGATAGAGGAGGTTGGAGCAGGGCCCTCCCTGGCTTTGTAGGGGCTAGAGCTGCCACTGGAACAGGGAAGCAATCTTGGAGTTTAGGGGTGTTAGGAAGTGTGACTGGAACAGACCCACTGAGCGAGACCAGCCCAGTGTCCTGCGACCAGCCCAGCGTTCCGCGTCCGGCACTCTGTAGCATTTATGACAACCACCGTGAGTCCTGTCAACTAGCATCGGGTGCAATGCCACTTACTGACTACCATGCAAGCTAAGCAAATGCGCAGGTATCCCCTTACAGTATACTGCAAAGACGCTGATATTGGAACTCAAAGTAATGTATTCCACTTGTTTGCAAAGCGAAAACCCGGCTGAATACCTCTAGCTTCTAACTACCGCTGGCACTACAGCAATGTCACAGCCCTGAGATATGACACACATAGCACAAATGTACATAAGAGCATCAAACAGGGAAGGTTGATGCATATCAGCGCTGTTTCGTGGTCAGAAACCGCCTCGAACGAACAAAGCGGTTTGATGAAGATCCAGATGACAATCCATTTTGTACAAAGTATGCTTATGTTCATCACATAAGCAGTCGAACGTTGTTTGGAATACTAGCAATTCCAGCTAATGAAACACGATGGTCGTTAACATGTAACTCATTCGGATTCAAAGTACAGAAGAACATAAGGAACTGACCTGGAAGTAACGCGGTCATTCCGAGTCAGGAAAGCAGCGAACAGCTGACCGCAGCCAGTGTAACCTTGTCTGACACGGCAGCTGTGTTCCGCTGAGACCCGCGGGCCACTGGACGGACTCGGTGGTGGCGGCGGCGCATCCTCGGCGACTCAGGCGCCCTCGCACCGCTCCTGGTCGCGGCGCACGCTCGCCAGCAGGCGCAGAATCTCCAGTTTGACCCGCTCGGCCCGCTCCCGCGGCATCCGCCGCAGGGCGTTCAACACCATCATGCTGAACTCGAAGTTTTCGTCCATCTCCTGCTCTTCCTCCGGCTCTTCGTTCCCCATCTCCACCAGCACGTCCACCAGCTCCTCCTGCAGCTCCTCAGCAGGGCGCGCCGGCCGCTCGTGGCGTGGCTCCTCCGCAACCGGCTGCTCCGCCTCCGTCAGCCTCGGCCGCTTCTCCGGAGCCGGAGGCGAGTCGGACAGCGCCGGAGCGTCCGGGTCAGGCGGCGGAGAGGACCCCCTCTTGGGTGGGTGACTGAGTGAGTCCATTACACTGAGTATTTGCAGCCAACAGGTGCTGTGGCAACTGGAAAAAAGGTGGCACAAAATCACACGCATGAAAAAATCGCACCTGCAGTCTGAATAACTCAATACACCATTCTGATTTCATTTTATTGTCACTATTGCTTGGAATTGCCTTGAAGTAGGTATATCAAGGAATTTTGTACAAACTAGCATCACATCTGCATTAGGAAGGTATGTAACATGTAATAACATTTCAATCCAGACTGGAAAAAATACACGTTATGCCGAATATGTCCGGCGTAGTGGCGGGATTGCACCGAAAATTTCAGCGCACGTCCGGCGTAACTAAGCATGCGCCGAATTCAGCGCATGGCGGCGGACAAATTTTTCGGCGCAGGGCGATTGCATAATATTTTGGCGAAAGACGGTCACCGAATTAATGCGGTACGCTGGTCAATCTAGCAGCAGATTCGCCCTGTGGGCGGCTCTGGAGAGGTTTCGGGACGAGACGTCCCCGCCCCGATCGTCGCGTGCTTGAACTAGCGAGCCGCCCTGAGTCTACTCAGCGGAGGAACGGCCACCCAGGTGAGGCCTCTACCTTCGGCGGAGAGATAGGTATGGAAAACCTCGTTGAACGACGCCAAGCGTCGTTAAGCAATAGCAGTGGGTTCCTGCCCACTGCGGTCCGAGGGAAATGAGAGCGCGGACGACCTGGCAAAACAGGCGGCCGCCCTGCCCTCAAACGCCCGATCGCTGATCAGGGCGGTTCATTGTGCGGCCTCGCATCAGTGGCGCGACAACTGTTCAGAATCAGTACCTGGCGGGCCACCGGGTTCAACTGTTCAACTGTTCAACTGTTCAGACAACTGGCGGGCCACCGGGGCCGCTCGCTCCAGTACCTACGGCACCGAATCGGCTGTCTCCACTCCGCCGCGTGCCAGCAATGCCCAGACAAGCTGTGCCGCGGCGCTCTGCACCGTGAGCCGAGAAGAGGCTGATGTGCCGGAGCACGTGCTGCTCCGCTGCCCGGCCCTCGCTGGCTCCCGTCGAGGTATTCGGTTTACGTGGAAATAAAAAAACTCATTCGGACGCTAAAACATAGGAGAGCGTACAAGGCCCCGAAATACTCTGTCTGGTTGATATAGCCTTGATCAGTAAATGTGCACATGTGCTTTATATGAAAAGGGCTTAATTTTCGCACAAATAGGCACCTAATTTTTGGCGCATATCACGCAGAAATTTCGGCACAAAATCGCTTGCGCCGAATTTCGACGCAACAGGGTCTCACAGAGGGTCTCACAGGCGTCCGGCGTAGTGTATGGATGTTTTCCAGTCTGGATCTCAACAACCCATCACACAAAACAACATTTTTTCACTTAAAATAATATACCATATATAACAGGTAAATAACAGGTAAAATATAAATAACAGGTATTCTTAGTTTGAGGCAAGATTATGTGGCAGGTTTTAGTCACTTGAGTTGAGTTCACACTTGCACTTCATTGATCTATTTCCATTGAATATGCAACAGTGACATTTATTTGACCAAACAATTGTTGTAATCCTGGAATATCAATTAATGAAACACATCTTAACTCGTACACCATACATTTTAACCCTCGCCCTGGCAGGGCATTTTTCATAACACGGCCTGGCAGGGGGGAGGGGTCGATGCGACCCCCCCCCTCGCGATTGGCTCTATGGCACCTAGAAACACCAAATTTGGTAGGTAGGTGGGCCCCCTGGAGTTCTCGCCCCTGTGCAAATTTGGTTGCTCTAGGTCAATATTTAGGGGGGGTTTTGGGGGGTATAAATGTAAAAATTTCGCTAAAAACAGGTCAAAAGTTTTTCGCTTATAACTTTTGATCTAATTAAGATAGAGCAAAAAGAAAAGCACCAGTGAACTCAGCTCGTCAAGGCGCGTCGAATGATATACTTTTTAGCTTGCTTAAGTGTACTTAAAGTTTTTCTTAAATTTTAAGTAAACTTAAATTAATAAATTAAGTTCAAGTTTACCAAATTGCATCATATCGCATATCATTCGATTCGGCTGATCACCAGGAACACAATGATACCATTTTTTAAGCTCTAGCGTCATTATGTGCCAAGTTATTGGCAAAAACGTCATTTGACCTCAGTTGACCTCATTTGACCTGACCCATGGATAAGTACACCAAACAAAGAAGCACCAAGTGACCTGCTGTTAATTACTGTGGTTTCTAAGCACAAAAGTGATAGAACAAAGCGGATATCTCCAGTATTTTCCGAATTTAGTATTTTCCCATAGGCTTAACATTACGACGTAATGACCTCTAACTGACCTCAGGTCAGTGACCTCAAAAAACCCGAACTATATGTTATACAACTCGGTGAACTTAGCACATCCTGAAAGTTTATCAGTCCAAAACTGTGAGTTGGACAGGTGCAAAAAGAAAATTGAAATTTGACCATGACCTTGTACCGGTTTTTCTGACCTGGTGACCTGACCCAAGGTCACCCGGACCTGAAATTTTCAGGTCATATGTAAAAAGGTTGCCCCATAGGCTGTGCCAAATTTGGCGGCGCTGCGCGCCGCCGTTTTTACGCTATCTTCGAAAAACCTTAGGGGGGGGGGGGGTCGCATCGACCCCCCCTGCCAGGGCGAGGGTTAAAGGAAATAGTTCACTTTTTAACATGGGTTTTGAACTGGAATAGCAGTTCCGTAGCTTGGGCTGAGACGAGCATAAATCAGGAGCTTTTACAGCCCAACGATCACCCTAGGCAAAGATATTCTATTTCTCGTCCCGAAAAAGGTGTCTTGCGTTGAGGATGTGTGCCTTGCATATATTTCCATCCAGTATGAAAAGAGCATGGGTCCCGAAAATTCTTCAGAAACTAGAGAAATTATCTACGAGAACTCTAGAGAAATTCTCGTACTGATCAATTAGGACATTCAGGGGAACATTATCAGATCGAGCAGATCGCCCAAATGCCGATGGCTGCGATAATTTTTCTGTTTCTGAAGAATTTTCGGGACCCATGCTCTTTTCATACTGGATCGCGTGTGCCTTACAGAAACTGAAAAGTTCTTCCTATATCAAAATATAGAAAAAAATATTTTGTTATAAAAAGGATTTATTTTTTTTGCTGATTATTTTGAACATAAAAAATCATAAATCCGTTGCAAAAAAATAATTTCGTGAAAGTGAACTATTTCCTTTAAGCATCCTGGACCCTGAGGCGAGTAGGTTAAGGTAAATCACTAAAATGACCAAAAATTATGCCACTTTTATGTTTAATTGGGTAAGGCTCTTTCGGTCAATCAGACCATTTCAGAGCCAGAAAGATAATAGGAATTAGTGGGAAACATTCGTCAGGGAGGGCACCCTTGTGAGTTTTCAAGGCTAAGCCCATTAAGTGGACACTGGACAGACCACCCAGCCCTGACACTCACTGCAACCGGTTAGGAGTGTACTCCTATGGGAGCTTCCCGAATGGAATAAAGTCGCCTGTTTAGCCAGAGACGCGGTTGAGGCAAGTTGAAGTAGAAAGATTTGACTGTCCTGAGGACGGAAATAACAGAATGGTGATCACATGCCACTACCTCAAAATTATTTACATACACTTTTCACAAAATACTCACGCCTACTAATTCAACTGATTGATATTCAATTAATTTATGAATCCTTCATTCAATTATAACGTAACTGCGACATTTCCGGCGCGAAGGAACAGCGGTTTTCAACAATTAATCGCAGCTTACCGTAATCAGTCAACAGAAGCAATTGTTCCTGATAGAAAATGTTCCCGTAAATAGCTCACGGTAAACAAGATATCTTCAAAATGATTAAATTAAGTCCCCAGCTTCTCACTGCCAGAGATACACGAGCGCGGCAACAACAAACCAGTGCTGCCAGATGGGGAAGGCTGTAATCCTCCAGATCAGTTACAAAAAGTCCTCCAGATTCCTCCAAATCCTATTGGTAGATATAGAAAGGCGGTCTTGGACGCTGCGGGGGGCTATACCCCCAAAAAAGTTTCACCAAATTCTAAAAACTCATCGGATTTCGAATCCTTTCGCACTGCTGTGCAGTTTAAAAGATACCTTTTCTTATAAAAGCTGTTTAGTTTTCCTATTATAAAAAAACGAATATTTTCGTCGATTTCGGGCGCTGCAGGGGGGCCGGGGGCATTTGCCCCAAATGTCCCCCTTAGACAGCCAGTAGTTTGGTACCCTCGACCCTCGTAGATATAGCTACAGACTGAGACATTCTGCAGTCTCACGGTGAGGCGTGATATATCCTAACGGGTAGGGTGACGCTGGGCAGGAAAATGCCTTTTTAGTATTGAATGTGTTATATTTTTCCATGAAATTGAATATAATAATCGGGCGACAAATCCTCCAGATTTTCCTCCAGAATCAAAAATCCTCCAAAAGCGAAATTTGTCCGCAAATAGAGTTCAAAATCCTCCAGATTTGCGGAAATCCTCCAAATCTGGCAGCACTGCAACAAACGTGCTGCACTGTTCAAAGCCGATCGGACAGGCAAATAGACAGCAAGTTGCCTAGCAACCTGCTGAGGTGTTCCTGATTTGCCGTTCTCACCCAGGGTATATTGAGCAAATATTGAGGTTCTCACCTGGTTCTCTTCTCACTTCTATGGCTCTTGTGGAGAGCTATGGGTGGGGGCAAGGTGGGGGGCTTGTAGATTTGGCGTGTGTCAGCCGAGTATCCATGCATTTCCAAACTTCTTGCGTGTTGTGGTTAGATGCGTGCCAACATGTATGTAAAATGATGTTCGTCAATCGTCACATGCATTATGGTGGGCGTCAAAGTCACGTAAAGGTCAGGTCAATGCGGCGACCTGATCGGTAACCTCCAGTGCTTTTTCAAGTCGCACAACTTTTCAGAGTAGTTTTCGGCAGGGCTGCGGAGTCGATGGATCCGCAGCCCGCAGATGACTCCAACTCCGACTCCGCAGCCCTGGTTTTCGGAGTTGATTATTGATTTCGAAATTAACACTCATGTGAACATTTGAAAAGTACTGCTGGTGCCCACGCAACAGACTGGGAAGCTGTGTGGTGGTAAACACCTACAATGAATAGTCAGCGGGACGCCTAATGGTTGAGATCAGCCGGTTCACGCTGGCGCACTAAGGCCCTTGAGTGACACTTGATTTGAAGTGTCACTAGGCGATTTCGGTTCGCGCTGAGCCACTAGCCTATTGGTGTAAAATACCGCTTAGTGTCACTACCTTCAAGTGTGACTTGGTCACCTAGTCTTACTAGCTTCCTAGTGCGCCATCTCGAATTGGTCCCTGACCCGACCATGCCAACATGTATGAATACGTAATCATAGATCAAGACGGATCAAAACGCATTGTGGCTTGACGACTGATCTTATTGAAGTAATATGCACATACACGCGTTCTCACACGGAAAAGAACACCAAACAATGCAGCCAACAAGTCAGACGTCCGCGCAGCGTCCCATATCCGGTCACGAACGCACCCTCAGTGGCAGCCCGGAGCGGCCACCTCTCCCGTACGAGCCCCGTTCGGTGGCACCTTACCAGCGACGTTTAGACATTTCTTCAATGAGACTGCCCTACGGTAAATACAAATAAAACTTTCTTTGACGTAATAGCATCGAAACTGTCAGATCCTGATTGTAGACCCAGAACTAAAAACGCTCCAGAATCGGGCATCATGCAATCGAAACAACAGGCGAAGTTTAAAGGCATGACCAGCCGCATAGTAGGCCGGTAGGACTGTGCCACCGAACAGAGCCCGGACTGGGAGAGCCAGACGAAAACCAGCGCTGCGCACCGGCTCAGACGAACCGGCGCCCCCTCCCGCAGCTCGCGCTAAAACCCCCCACTCCCCAACCACAGCGGACACTGATGAAACAAATGCAAACTCAGGCAGACCTCATGTCCACTTACACGCTAAAACGGGGTCAAGGTATATACAGCTGTGTACAGGCTAGCCAATCTCAACAACGCGCGCGGCTAGACTCTTGTCTCACGTCCAGAACAGTAGGTACAGTGACCATTGAGCGAACACACTCGGCGACACAGGTCATCGCCGCGTCACACAACCAACGCGCAGGGCGCGACGCAGCGGGAATGTGCTCTCTCTCTCTCTCTCTCTCTCTCTCTCTCTCTCTCTCTCTCTCTCTCTCTCTCTCTCTCTCTCTCTCTCTCTCTCTCTCTCTCTCTCTCTCTCTCTCGCTCTCTCCCGCCCCTGGCAGACCGGTACGTCTCCCCTTAGCACTCTCAGCCCGTCCGCGGCCCTCCTACACTAACCGCCCTCTGCGGCCCGACAAGCTCGCTGACAATGTGAAACAACGCCAATAAATAGGTGGGTCTCTGTGCGGTGGACCGGGGTCGGCCGCAGCCGCTCTATGTACACCCTCCCCCGCCGGCGCCGGCCCGGCGCGCGCCGCGCCCGCTCCGCTCGACTAGGTGAGTCGGCCGGTCGGCCGGCCGGCGAGGCGCTATTGCTGGCTGGTTTGTACGTGTCGCGGTCGGCGGGCCGGGCTATTTGACTGGCGCGGCCGGAGCCGGCGGCGTCTGCAGCGCGGCGGCGGCGTTCGACGACACCCAGTTCTTGAACACGTCCCTGAGAACGGAGACGGCCCGTCAGTCACACTGCTGGGGCGGAGGGGGCCAGGGAGAGCCGGGAGGGGCCACAACAGAGCAGAACAGACAGCAGGTGTGCATGATTCGCTGGGCTTGTCGGGGTCAAGTCATGAACATGCAAAAAATTCCTCTTCTCCTAACCTGGGTAGGAGCAGCGCTAGCTGTAATGTGCCACAGTAAGACAAACCTACTGAAACTCCCACGGCAAAACAAATAAGACACCACATCATTAAGTAAGTCCTTCCCCATCAGTTCCCCACACCGTTTTAACTACTGAACCACCCAGCCCCAGCGCGCGGCCTGCGGTCAGGACACGGCTCGGCTCGTCACGCACCTGCAGTGATTGACGACGCACTCGTTGCTGCAGTACTCGTCCTCCCACTCGGGGTTACTGACGGGCGGGTTCCGGCAGCCCACGCGCAGGCAGGTGACCGTCTGCTCGGCAGCCGGGGGCGCCGCCGGAGAGCCGGCAGAGCGGCCCGGGCTGGCCGCCGGAGCAGCGCCCTCGGCGGCCGCCGGCGGCGAGTCCTGCTGCGGCGCGGCCGACCGCGGCGGGGAGACGGCCGCCGCCGCCGGCTGCAGCTGCTGCTCCTGCTGCTGAGGCGCCAGCTGCTGCTGCTGAGGCGGCTGCTGCTGCTGCTGAGGGGTCATCTGCTGCTGTTGGGGCGGCATCTGCTGCTGAGATACCATCTGCTGCTGCTGCTGCTGCTGTTGCTGTTGCAGTTCCTGTTGTTGCTGCAGCTCCTGCTGCTGCTGTTGCTGCTGCTGCTGCTGAAGCTCTTGCTGCTGCTGTAGCTCTTGTTGCTGTTGTTGTCTTTGGAGCTCCTGCTGCTGCTGTTGCTGCATCATCATCATGTGTTGTTGATGTGCAAGCTGCTGCTGTTGCTGCTGCTGCTGCTGAGGCGTCATCTGCTGCTGAGCCATCTGCTGCTGCTGCTGCTGCTGCTGATGCGCTAGGTGCTGCTGCTGCTGCTGCTGAGGCGTCATCTGCTGCATCTGTGGCACGGCCGGGCCGGGCGCCATGGGCGGCGAGCCGAGCGGCTGGGGCGACAGCACCGCCGACAGGCCGGGCGGCGACTGGGACAGGTGCTGCTGCGGGCTGCCCAGCTGGTGCTGCTGCTGCTGCGGGCTGCCCAGCTGGTGATGCTGCTGAGGGCTGCCCAGCTGGTGCTGCTGCTGCTGCGGGCTGCCCAGGTGGTGCTGGGGACTGCCCAGATCCGGCATCTGTTGAGGAACACGAAAACCCGTATTAGTCTCAGTAAACACTGAAACCAGCGAACAAACTGCACCGAAAGCACGGCACATCAACGAGAAAGTCTTAGCGGCCAATGGACACGTTATGCTATGCCGGTCACAGACACAGTGAAACTCCAGAGCACCTGCCCCCCCTTCTAGTCGGAGTGCCCTCCCCACCCCCGTGTAGAGTGTGACCTTCGTTCCCTCCTCCCCTAGCCGGAGCGCCCCATCTCCCCAGGTGTGGAGTGTGGCCCTAGTCCCCGGGACCACGCGGCCACTGACCTGGTGGTGCATGTAGAGCGGCTGAGAGGCGGGCGGCAGCATGGGCTGAGAGGCGGGCGGCGGGCCGCCGTGGTAGCCGCCGGCGCCCATCATTCCACCGGCGCTGTACAGGGTCGGCGGCTGCAGCGGCGCGCCCAGCAGGTCCTGTCGGTCAGAGGGGGAGGGGGACGGTCAGAGGGGGACAGTGACAGAGCATAGGGACCAGGGGACGTTATCATGTTACGGTTTGGTACACACCACACAATCAGGGGTCGGTAGATCACAAGAACTATGGGACGGTAGGAGGAGCAACGGGTCACAACTCGCAAGTCAGAGAGGTCACGGGTCACAAAGTTGGGCGGAAAGGCACAGTCCCAAGAGCGTCGACGGGAGTTTCGCCATAAGAAGGATTCGACCCGGCAAGACGACAATCTCCACCATATGGTCAGTCGAGCAATCCCGTCACAACACACGTGGGCGGGGCGACACGCCGACCCACCGACGCGACCGTGGACACTGGGACCGACGGATTCGGGTCACTCGGGACGGCCGTGGCTGGCTGCTCAGTCGATCAATCCGTCTGCTCGGGTCAGTCTCGTATCCCCAGTCCAATTGCGCTCGTGTGCGGGGCCGAGCCCTTGCGTCTCCGCTCCGCACATTGTCTATCAAGTATCAGGGTTGCTCCGTCTGAATGTCTCGTCTGATTGAGCATTCTCTACTATCCCGCTGACGTCTTGCATTCCGTTCTGCATCGTAGTCCCGACTCCCATCTAAACACTGCTCTGTTTCTATGTATTTCCCGTGTTAGCTGATGTTTTCCCCCTATCCCAGCATTCAATCTCACTTTCCACAGCTCTGTTTCGCATCCTCCCTCACCTGCTGTTGCTGCTGATGTCCTTCTGCCATCAGTGAGCTGAGCAGGGGCGACTTTTTGGCCATTCCGCCGGCCTGCGCGGGCCCGGCGGCCGCGCCGCCCTGGTACGGCCCGGGCGCGTATCCGCCGGCGCCCGGGTACGGCTGCGCGCCGCCGTAGCCGCCGTAGTTGGCGAACATGCCGGCCTGCTGCTGCTGCTGCTGCTGCTGTTGAGCGGCCGCCGCCGCCGCAGCCTCCTCATTGTTGGTCTGCCGGAGAGAGGGGGTGACGGTCAGAAAGCGGCTGCAACTTGAGACAGGAACGGACTGATGTTCGAGTGCATTCAGTACGTGTTGAGAACAGATAGCAAGCTTTCACTGTTTGTAGCTTTCGTAGTCTAACATTTCGCGACGTTGCAGAGTTCAAGTTTGGGAGTCTCAGGGTTGGGTCAAGTCGTCCTCGACAGGGCTGAGGCAGGCCGACAGACAGGCTGATGAAGGGAGAAAGGCCTAGCTAGAGAGCTTCTCAATTTATCTTTCTTCTAGGAGGCAGCATGCCAGTTATATGCCAAGCATAGATATGTGACAATCGTTTTGCAGAATTAGGCATCTGATTTGCATCTGATTGTAATGGATCCCCGACTCAAAATGTGTCATATAGCATCCGAACGACAGCTTTTCTAACAAAATTGGGCCATACTTGCGGTTCGAGGGGAGGGATGGGGCGGGAGGGGAGGATTAACAGTAGATAATCGCTTATGAACCGGCCCTGCAGAACTGATTAATTCGCGATGACAACCGGGAAAATAGATGGCCTTCAGCAACTTTCGCTTTGAACTGATACCAGATTTACACAAATCCATTCCCGGTAAGATCGCCTAACCCATTACAAGCAACGCAGCACTTTCACTGTCCAGTGAAAGCCCGGCTGTGCGGCGCAGCCATGGGCAGCAGCCAAGGTCGTGTGCTGTGGGCCCGCCCCCTCCCCCGGCCCGGCAGCAGGACGGCTGTCGGTAGCGCACCTCCAGCAGCAGGTCATCCAGCACCTGCAGCAGGTCACCGTCCGGCAGGTCGGGCACCACGGCCATCGCCGAGCCCCGGACAGTGACGTCACCGGTCCGTGCAGCGCCGAACTGCGCACCGGCCGCGACTGGATCGGACAGCCCGCCGTCTGACACTGCTCCAGACGGTGTGTGGGGCCCGGCGTGGTCTAACGGGCCGGTCCGGGCCTTCACACCGGTCCACCACGTGGTGACAGCCCGCCCCGCCCTCTCCTCAGTCACCGCAGTACCGGCGCACGGCTGACACTGACACCGTCCGACACACTCCCCGTGTCACCCTCAGACCACCGTCGGACCGTCCGCCCTACACTCCCAGCTGGACCGGCAGCCCGCTCCCCACACCGGCACACACACAGACTGGCCGGCCCGGGCTGCCGGCCGACCGCCGCCGCTCGCCCGTCGAGCACCGCCATTGGTCGGGGAGTGCCGGCGGCGGGCCGGGCAGCAGCAGCAGCGGCGGCCGCGGCGCCCTCTGCCCGCCTAATGGCTCATCCCAAAGGCTCGCGGACGTGGGAAGGTCAGCTCCGCCACCAAAGGCTCCGCGGGAGGGGAGGGGAGGGAGAGGAGGGGCTCCCGTCTGACGGCGTGCCGAGCCGCTCCGGACGATGAACGGACGGGGAGGGGAACCGCTGATCGCCCGTGTGCATTTCGCTAGTGTTACCTTCAAACGGGACCTCATAATGAGCCGCTTCTGATGCATGACGTTTCTGCGTTCCACATCCTCTACCATTGCCTTATGATCATTGATCACCGATTTAGAAGAGCAATGTTCGCGATTTTTGCAACAAAACAGCCAGGATGCAAATTAGCGAGAGACGAAGAACTTCATAAGAGTAAAAGTCAGCAGAGCATAAAATGCTGCTTCTTCCTCTAAAAGGATTATAGTATAGGATGTAAAATCATTCAGCCGGCACGCGAATGAATCACGAAAGCCTCGCTCGGCACAAAGAACGCTGCATAGCTCAGGGTACGCCGGAGCTCGTTAACAAGTTCTGGGAAACTTCTGCGTCATGGCACCAAATGGTTACAACAGACGCTCGACATGTGATTATAGGACACTTGTGGGAGCTAACCAGTCTGACGTGGCCTATCTGTATCTGTGGGTTTGTTTTATTTACATAATCAAGGTGATTAGTGGCGTGAATTGGAACTAGTTATATCGAAAACACCACCCACTTTGCGTTTCATGTGGTAAACGTTTGGAATCTTTCTCGCGCTCTGGCGACGTCAAAATAAATAATCAAACATACAACACCCACAACGGGGCGAATGAACTGCTATTGGCCGTTGGGATATGTCAAACAATGTGTAAGGTGTGGGATTTCTGGTAAGTCTGATATTATGTTTACGCCATCGGAAACTCCAATCAAGCTCAACTTGCCCCACAAGAACGGTTCATCACCAAACAATCCGCCGCAAGGCGCAAACTCCCGGTGTTACGACAGCGGTCTCGTCTCCTATACATTCACTGACCCCTAAGTTAAACGTGAAACATATTTATCTGGCACCTTTATACTCCAGTTGGTTCAAAGTCAACTGGCAGCCGTTCTGACAATCCACTATTTCGGATTATTAATGAAACGTGGAACATAGATCGAGGCCGAGGGAAATCACCTAAATTATGACCCGTAGCCGTCATAATACGTCGAGAAAGATAAATCAATGAGAATCATTTACGTCTATCCGCGACATACACCGTACTTCACTTGTTGTAAATCGACTCTTCGACACAACAGATCATCGAACATCCATACATACATTCCATCGAGTAATATAAACGACGATTAATGACCAGCTAGGGATAATAGCTATGACCCAGATCGATCAGACTACGGCAGGCTGGGTTTCTGGGAACCCATACACGGGATAAAAGGAAATAGTTACAAAAGCATCTCTCTCTCAGCACGAAGCAATGATCCTATGACGTTTTGTGAGGGCAATGACTTAGTAAGAATAGCCAGGTCATAATGCGACAAGTTTGGATATGAAAGTCAAACCAGCAGAACATTTCAACATTCGGACGATTAAATACGTTGAAGTTACCGAACGTACCCAAAGTTGACGAAAATGCACGCTTCCCGCAGTGCAGCCGCAGGAGCTGTTGTCTTAAGAACTTACCGTTAAAAACGAAACTGTCTCAAAGTAACGAGCTTTTATGAAAACGAACTTATCATCCAAAGCTGCTAAAAATAATACCAGGAAAGAATACCCAGCGCAGCACCGAGTTATCAATCGGTCCAGGCCCGTGCGCAGCTGGGGCGCCTGAGTCCCCGCAGAGCCTGTATAGGAGGTCAGGGAGGGGTTCGGTTCCTCACCTTGGAGATGAGGCTGGCCCGGTAGGCCGCCAGCGCCTTCAGGTACTCCTTCTTGGCGTTCTCAGTCTTCTTCTTATAGACCTGGAACGAGAAGGAGGGCAAAGTTAGGACCTGCGAGCTAAGGGTATCAGGCGTCACTTCAATCTACTGTCCTTCGGTCACTCTCAATCGATTCACAGGAACACGTTTTCCAGGGCTCATCTCCTTATAACGGAACATTGCAGCGTGATCGCAGGACATGAGGCGCCCCCTTATCTACGACATTCAGTATGTAATTCATATTTATCACAGGTCGAAAAACCGAAGACATTGGGCTTGAGCACGCTAATAGCAGCGCTAAAAGCATGCAACGCCAAGCGGTTTCAAGAGCACCAGCTTCGTGCAGTATTGACAAGATCATTCAGCCGGAAACAAGTCCGTATTTTCTGAATCACCTACGAAACACGAGCCAGCCAGCAGGTAATTACGACCGTAATTTGTACCGGTTCACTCATAACTAGTGGTGTCGATCGGTTACCAAAATTTCGGTATACCGATACCGAACCAATACCGATTCGGTATTCGGTATTATATACCAAAAGCATTTGGTATTTTGTCGGTATTATGAAAATCAACTACTACCATAAAAGATTTGAAGCATTTTTGATAAACCTTCTGAACTCAAATTTGATTTGCTAAATGGTATTGGATGAAGAAAAATGGCAATCATGGCACATTTCTCCCAAATGCATGATGTCCTAACAAATGGGCAAACATGTTAGCAGTAATATCAAACACACAAGTCTACCAATGTTAAATGGCAACTTATCAGTGCTAGCTTATTCCAATACCATGAGGATAATTATCTTACAAAGAAAGCTAATGTGGAAAACAAAATCATGTATTAATGTTTAACTTACTGCATGCTGGAAAACATACTTTAACTATCTTACTAAAAAATTTCCAAAGCATTTATCAGCAACAAATTTGACTTTGTTTTGAGGAGTCTGTGATTGATCTTGACCCTGTCTTGCTCTACATTTCACTGCAATGCAAGTACATTATCCAAAACCCTGTTTTATACAGCACTAGCTTCACCATTATCATCTAATATTAAGGGCAGCATTTATCACTTCATCACCTCACAAATCCTCAACTTCCCTCAATTTCAAAAAGCCTCTGTTAATGACTGAACTGGACTGAGCGATCCTGTGGATAATTTATTTTCTTTAAAGGAAATAGTTCACTTTCCTGAAATTAGTATTTTGCTATGGATTTATGTTTTTTTATGCTCAAAATGATCAGAAAATAAAACAAAACGTTTTTGTAAAAAGGATTATTTTCTTTATTTTAGTATAAGAAGAACTATATTCTATATAAAATAATGTTTGACGCGGAAGCTTATTACGCGTTGACCAATCATATTGCGTAGGACAAACCCATCGGCTGTAAGCAGCATTCTGATTGGCTGACGATGACGTGACTGCATTCCTCAGCAAGGCACGCATTCCTCTGCAAGGCACTCTTTTCGGAACGAAAAATGGAATATCTTCGTCTAGGGTGATCGTTGGGCCGTAAAAGCTTCTGATTTGTGCTAGTCTCAGCGCAAGCAACCAAACTGCTATTCCAGTTCCAAACCCCATGTTAAAAGTGAACTATTTCCTTTAATTAGTGTTCACTTTCCTGCTCTCCTCAACAGATAGAGATCGCTAGCAATGTAATCAAAAGCATTCCTAAAATATGATTGGTTTTTGGCTTGATTCGCGCACAGCCGTTTCAAAACTGAACACATTTAGTCAAAAAACATTTTAATGTCGCAGCTGCGCCAAATACTGATTTAGCACAAAAACTTTAGTTTTTGGATTGAAAATAATTGAAAAACTTTGTTTTTTTTTTTGTTCTTCATTTTTCAGCAATAGCAGCCTTCAATCTTTCTTGAAATAATTTAAAGATTCCAAAAACAAATACATAGAATTTTTGACTAAAGTTTTCTAAAGCAAAAAAGAAAAAACTTTCTTCTATACAGCTCTGTGCCATGCAAATTGCAAATGGCCGCCGCCATTGTGTAAGAGATGACACGTGACATGTGTCAATGCTTCCATAAAATTATGGACATTTTACTAAGCTTTCATCGCGATATCATTACAGTGGTGTCTGCTATCTATCAGTGTGCCTCGTAAGTAATTATTTAGCAAATTTTGTTGTGTTAAACATTTGTTAATGAAGAAAAATTGGCTGCGTCAGTATCGTCACCATCGCTACTTGGGTTGAACTCTAGGGGTATCATGGATTTTGTTTTTATTAATGGTATAGCCCATCATTGTCAATAGGGTCACCATTTTTGGATCATGATAACACACTTAACCCTGCCTTGACCGGACTCGAATTGAATGACTTGAATTGAAACGTTTGATGGTTCGCCTTGGATGGTTCAGGCATGGCCTCAATATTGACTCAATATTTGTTAACTGACCTCAATATTTGTTTATAGTTACACAATGCAGTTATAAATGTGTTTTTCTTTTAATGCAAATTATTTAGATATTCCCTTATTTTTTTGTTGCCTTCTTTTAAAGTATTACCTTTCAATGCTTATAACTATGTCTTGAGAAAGTTTGAAGCGTTTTGTTTTTTACTGATTTTCTGAATTCGGTATCTAGTCGGTATTTCCCCCCTATTTCTAAAAATCGGTTCGGTTTTGGTATATTCTCAGTGGTTTTGGTCGGTATCGGTTTGGTATTGGTTTTCAAAATTTCTGAAATTGACATCACTACTCATAACCCCCAATTACTGTCGTAACTCGGGCGTGAGCTCCACGACGGCCCAACCTCCGGGAAACCATGGACCCGCGGAGTCGACGAGCTAACTCGAGCTAACTCGAGCTAACTCGACGAGCTAACTCGAGCAGGCGGAAGTAGTCTTCGCTCGGGTCAGAGCAGAACTAGTGCAGCTCTCGCAGCACCTCAGCGCCGCACCGCGGACCATGACGGAACTATAAAATCCTCCACCGACCGCTACATGGCGCTGGCCATAACGGATACTCGTCCAACCGAACACGAGCGGTTTCACGGCTAAAAGCCGGAAACGCACGGTCGAAAGCAATTAGCTGAAACACGACTGCTTGGAAGAGGCAAGTCGAGTTAAACAGTTTCATTTTCCAGGATTTTCCTCCGGACAGGTTACTAGTCAAGATGTCTTTTTACCTGCATGCTGCAACCGATTTAGGTAGGCACAATATGAATGACTCAGTTTTACTGGTTCAGTTGTCTGCCTACCGGCACAATGGCATGGGTTTGGGTAGAGTCCTTGGCCTTTTCGATGACGCTATGCCAAAGCTTCCGTCAAAACAAGGCGGTCTGGCTTGTTTGCGAGTTTCAAGTAAAACAACATATCTGTGTTCGTGTTTCATTTTAAATGAACCACGAAAAATACAGCCGATGTTTTTCGGTCGTCAATGACAAACTTTACACAACTCAGCCACAATCCCACCACGGCGAAGAAGGCAATGAAACGGACATTATCATTCACATTCAACATCGGCCAACAATAGACTTCACAACAACACTGACAAAAAGGGCCTTCACAGAGCGCAGGAAAAATATTGACGTCTACTTTCACTTCCATTCTTCAGGCACTTATCTTGTAGACTGACAGCGGCAGACAGTTTTACTAGACTTTACACAACAGGCCGAGGATTAAAAGAAAGCGGATTTTGACGGTTCTTTTTGCCGACTACGTCCAGAGAATTCAGGAGCTGTTCAGTTGTCGTGCTCGGCGCAATACATCACAGGGAACACTCGACCAAAACGAAATCAAAGGACGCTGCCGGCAAAACAGGCAGAGCGCGAGTCGAGAAAACATCATCATAAAGGGAAATCTATATTCCGCTCGATGGCATATCACAGCCAAATGACAGGGCAAGAACAACCAGTCACTTCACAAATGGATGATACGGCATAAGCTGTAATAAAGCCAGAGTTCTCACAACATAATATCAATTATCAGAGGTCACAAATCATATGGCCGCGGCAGATGACTGACAGGTTGAACGCTGACCGCCGTAACAGACCGACCAATGGGTCACAGACCCTTAGACCGATTTGACAGCCAGCAGAGTCGCCCCTCCGACAACGAGGCGCTCAAAACATGCCGCGAACAGGACACAACTGCCACAGCGGGCGAACACTTCCGACTGCAGAAAGCGGCCACGGACCGCGATGGACGGTCCACGCCCCACACCACTGTGCATTCTGCAAGCGCTGTTCAGTTATTTCGCCAGGGCAAGCCACATTTTCTTCGCCTTTTGTACATGGGTGAAACTTTGACATCACCATTGGGGTCCCAAACGTCCAAGGGGGCCTCCATTTAGTGGGGGCCTCCAAGCAATTAGGGGCCTCCAATTGCGGAAGCGGTAATTTACGAGCCACGCCAGGGCCTCCTCTAAGAAATTTTCATTGGGGGACCAGAGGCTCAGAAGCCAAACATGGGGTACCCCCAAATCCAGTTTTCTCATCGGATATAGGCCACTTATTTTTCGTCACAGCCCTGATGCCATGATTTTTTTTTTAATATCGATAAAGAAATGGTAGGTCACCTGACCCTACTGGTGGATCCAGGCCAGCAGGGTGACATTGTATGTAAATATCCCCCGCGGCATCCGAAATCGACGAAAATTTCTGGCTTTTTCACTTTTGACAATAAAACACAATGCCTTTATAATAGAAAAAAAAATTAACGGCACAGCATTGCGCAAGGAATCTAGCCGTAAGCCGACCCCAGAAAGTGTGAGAGTTAACCTTCGCCGGCACCTGGGGGGAGGGTCGCCACCCCCAAGTTAGTTTTCTGCTCTACACTTAACATTTTTAAAGCTAGAAACCTGATTTTCTTTGTATAGCTGCTTTTCTATCTTTTCTCAGCGTCCATTGAAAATTTCAAGCTTCTGCGGCATTTGGGTTTGGAGATATGACCTTGTTCTTCAGGTCATGTCATGTCCTAAATGACGAATACCCAATATCTTGCGATGGCTATGGGCCTTGTGAGCTTTTGACACGCTGATTTCGGCTTTTTTTGCCAGTCTTACCTCCCACCTATCATTGAACATG